AGGAGATCGAAACGGATCGAAACCCGTTGATGGTCTGTGATCGTAACAGTAGTTTGCCTACACCGTTGCAGATTAGTTTTTAGCTCGGTTTTTAGATATAATTTGTTAAATGTGCTCTAAGCTGACATTTTAATTACTAAAAGTTTCTAAATACATCGTGGAATGTTTTTAATCCTCGGATTTTTGTAAAGATAATCTTTTCATGTTTGTGTACATTTGTTGTTTTTAATTTTCTCAATTTTTCAAAATATCTCGAAAAATTTTGAAATTTTAATTTTTTTAAATTTTTCTGACGATCTAATGTTGATAAACTTATGTTTTATTTGAATTTTACACTTTCATTTTTCGGAATTTTCTCGATTTTCGCAATTTTCAATTTTTCAAATATTTGTTAATTTTTACAATTTGATACATGCATTTGTTATATATAATCCGATCTTTCCATTATTTTTTAATTAACCTAAGTCCGGTATTAGACCATAGCATACCATAAAGGATATTTGACAAAGATCTTTTATAAAAAAACTGAAAGAATTGATCTGAATTCCGTCCAGAGACATTCGAAGAAATTTGCGCCTGTTAGAGGAGAATGGGCCACTTACAAAATTCGATAGTATAGTATTGAGTTGTAACTTATACAACCCGTTCTTCATTTAAAAAATTCACAGATTTCGCAATCCTTGCAACCATCGGAGACATTGGAAGTGATAACGTATAAAGCCATAAATAACGGAATAATCTTGCTTCTGAATAATAAGCGGCGTAACATGCTTATAATACTATCACGGGCGATATACGAGAATTTTAAATTCGAATTAACAAAACCCATGCGCATTGTTAAATAAGTACCATATCGATAGTATCCGCGACTTTTCCTGAATCTACCGATTGCAGTCGAGTACAGTACAATCAACACGAGACGCGACACCTCTTTTCTACTGGGCAAACCTGGTAAATTCATACCCATACAAAACATAAGCATTTCCAATGCTAAACATCCGTTGCAAGTGTAAAATGTCGTACCCAGTGTAAAAATTACGTCTGAATTTATGTTACTTTTATCCCATTATGTTTTGCCGTCCAATCCGTAGTATCAATGAACATACACTTCAATGTAGTGTTAAAAATCGAATCGATACAAAAATACCAATGGCATTCGTGTAAAACTTGTTTGCACTAAAAACGGGACGGTCGGTCACCAATCCTACTATAGCGCGGACGCTGTTATGTGGCTGCATTCGTGTCGTAGGTCAAAAACATTTTACTGTTTTTCCGAATTTTTTGTATTTGATGTACGTCAACAGTAGTGAAAACCCCGAGGAAAACCCACTAAAATTAGATCCAAACGTTGCCAAAATTCAGCAAGTGAAAAGTGTAATCCGAGGTGTAATCGTAAACGATTTACGTAAGCGCATTTCAATCACGTATTATTTCGTATTTAAATTTGACAATTCAAGTAAATTTTATTGCCAAAATTTAACTTTTAGACATCAAGCTGATGGAACTGTTTTGTTTAGCGTTTTTTGTTGCGTGTCGCTTTCAAAGAAAATTTGATGTTGTAAATATGTAAATCGCCATCGTACTAGCCTTAAACGTATCATATGTCTATGATCGTGCAACAAGAAAGTGTATAGATATTGATAAAAATATGGATCTTAATAATGTATTATATACAGAGTGTAGCATCTAGACCCCTCGGTTCATAATTCCTTTACCATAAAAGATACCGAAAATTAGAGCAAATAAATTCGTGTAAATAAACAATTTGTTCAATGTGAGACGGGCAAAATACATAAAATGTGGGGGTTATAGAATTTTAGTTGTTGTTGACTGAACACCGTTTGATAACTGAGCGATGCTTCGAACCGTTATCCACCTCCACTATAAATGTGTAAGTATTGATTGATTGATTCACCACTTTCAACTTATCCACACAACAATACGTCATGACGAATAGTAACGAACGAGGTAACGAATAGAATGATACGAACAGAAAAATCGAATAGAACAAGATGAACAACACCATTCGGTATAGTGTGGCCGCGCCTTTAGAGTTTGATACCTATATGACCTATGCAGCAGTTGATTAAGGCATCTTACCATAACAGACCGACAAAGCACTAGCGCATTGGTTTTTTTCTAATTTTTTTGAAATGCGCTGAAAAGAAAAAGTTCCCGTAAATTTGGGTTGGTGAGTTTCAGATACCTATAGGCGAGGATTGTTGCTATCATTTGATTCATATACTAATGGTAATGACCACGAAAAAGATTTTGGAAAGTTCCAACCGAGGTTCCAACTAACAGATAAAAGCGACGATAAAAGACAGGACTATATTCACCGAGTTATTTCTAATTTGCAAAATTATTTGAAAAATAAGAATTGGGACCTTGAAAGATGAATGAATGTCTCCTATTCCTGCTCGAAATTTTAATATTTGGTATTACAATGCACAATGTAAAATCCGGTAATAATTAGCATTCGGAATTTATGGAATTATTTTGTTACTTCTCACATCCTTCAAATATTGTGTGTAATTGCCGTAATCACTTAGCGGTGACGCGGTGTAATTAACATAACCTCTTTGTGAATTTAATAAATAAACGAATATATTAGATATATACAACAGTAAAATACTTTATTCATTCGGAGGGTAATTAGAAATGAAAAAAATTGATGAGATAATCGTGTTTAACTATCCATGTAGTCAAGGTTTGATGGTAATTCTAATTGTAGTTCAATAATAATTAGATGCCAATCTAGAACGATGGGCGATAACCGAGGCGATAACAATATGAATTATTGGGATAACAATATGAATTATTGGCGGGACCAGTACCATCATTTCATTATAAAGTACCTACAGGCACTGTTCGCAAAAGGGCAAAGACTATTGTCCTCGAGCAGGGAAACAAACTCTATTGTGCTTTATTCTTAATGTATTTCAAATGATTTGCATCCAGCAATATGGTCTGCATTATTTTAATTGTAAATAACTCGTAAATTTTGGTAAGATATATCCGCATTCGTGGATGGTTTTTGGAATTGAATTTATTTATGAGGTAATATTATATTCGTGGTGTACTGTGTTTATCCACCAAAACGTTTCACCGTAAGGGAGACATAAGGGAACTGCACGCATACTCCGACCTCAACATTAATCTAAAATAGAACTTCGTGTCCGGAAATTTAAAGTTCTTCATAAGTCATTAAAACAGTAAATGCGAAGACGATCTTATACAGGATCACCTCTCCTGTATTCGGAAAATCACTTACCACCCGTCCAAGAGGGGCAAATTCGAAAATAATTGATGAAAGGAATTGTGCTTCAAGGCAATGAATTTTGCAGTTTCCGCGACGAAATTTAAATTAAGATTTTGCTCTACCAACTTATCTAAAAATGAGAGTATGACAAAAAAACAACAAATACAGTTCCTGTGCATCAAGTCAATGTATTTTGCCATTTAAAAGTGGACAATGTGAATGTGGATATAACAATATTACGATACAATATCCACCACATTCAGAATAGTGGCGCTTCTATCTTGTGTAACGCAGCATAGGGATTTCAATGTAGGTAAAATTCATAACATGCAATTATTGGCTTCCCAAATTTAGAGCAAAAATGTATTCAGGTTTTTTGTAGAAAAAATTTTTTACGTCAATCGGCTAGTTTTCATAACAGCGGATTACGGACGGCGGAATTAAATTCTATGGAGGGGATGACCATAACGCCAAGCATACGTTTTCATAAACGCGGAGCGTATTTAGTACATCTAGTAATATTTTGGTTTCCTCCTCTTTCTGATTGTTGACATTTGACGTTTTTGACAAGCTGATTTAAAAAATCAAAATAAATAATCCTTTGGTCTTTGGTTTTCATTTTAACATCACAGATCAGTAGGATAAACATGAACATTAAAACTCGCAAAATTTGTTTGATTGCATTACTTTATTTATTTTCCAAAATAAAAAGAAGACGGCAACGAAAACGATGGTGGGTCAAAAATATATTTTTTCTCCAACCACCTGAATAAGACGCTATTTTGTGACAGTGTTCGCTACGTAAAATTGGCGTTTTGCGGATTAATCGCAATCACCATGGCAACTGTACAAAAAGTGGATACTTTTGGTCCTAGTACCAAAAAGAAATTGACCTTGAAAGTTGGCCAATTAAAAAATTACAATCACGGAGATATGTCACATTGACATCGTTTTACATTGCAGGTTGTAAGATATTTCTATACATACAAATCAAATATTTTTGCATATTCAATGCAAATGCTGTTACCTATACGTATTGTACATGTATTGAAAATGATTTACGCTCGATATTTTTATTTAAACCATGTGTAACGTAATTTACATATTCGGTGAACGTAATTTTAATACGAATACAACCCGCCGTCGCGCGTAACGCCATCTACTTCGGACCCATTGCACTATTATCTGTCATTTTGAATTCAAAATTTGAAAAACTTAATTGCAATTAATTTTAATTAAAAAACTGTATGGTAAGTTTTTTATTTCAATACAAAATATAACAATATTAATTTTGTATACAATAGAAATGACTGAAACTGATAGCGACATGGATTGCACTCCGCCAGAGATTATAGAAACGGCAGAACATGCTACCTTAGATTTGCTCCCTACAAAGTCGCGAGAGGTGCGAAGTAAGAAGTAATAAGAATGAATAAGTTATAAGTTAACCTAAAAACTAGAGTGGCATGACACGTGGGACAAGAAAGCAGAAGTTCTCAAACTAGTAGAAACTGTGAATTGAATCTAAATTCGAATATAATTTAAAGTAAAGGGGGTTGGAGAAAAAATTTTATGTTTTATTCGTACAAAAAATGCGTTTTCGGGACTCGGAAGGTTGCTGGACTCCGCTAATGCGTCGTCCAGCAACTATCTTCCTCGTCCCGAAAACTGACATTTTTTGTACTAATGAAACAAATAACTATTAAATCGAAATTCACTTAATATTTCGACCCACAACTGATCCTTTTTTGTTTTTCGAATTGTTTTTGTTCATTGAATTAATAGCAGTCTATGGTCCCAAAGGGCTGGACGTAAGGATACAAATGAGATTAAATCTCCGAAATTGTCTCCTCTGTGAAGCTAAAAATAGATGTTATAATGCAAGATTCAATGAATAAAAAGTATCTAACTCAGTTTGTACATTTTCTTGGGAAATGGGAAAGGGCTCGGCTATCGAATTATCCATTTCCGCCAACATATTATAATGCTCACACCCGTTTGTAATTCCGCAACTGTCACAAACCACGAACTATAAATTTTAAAAATGCAATAATTACATAAATGGTAATAAAAAATTACTTGCTCGTCAGAGTTCATCTTTTTGTTGAAATGGTATAGCCTGTGTTATAGTGAAGTGTAAACAAAAATGACCAACAAATCTATAACCTCACTTTGGTTCTTGCTGTCTTCTCGAGACCAGGTTCACAAGCCAAGGGTGTTGTGTATTGTGATTATACGATTTTCCAATTTGTTCCTCTTAAAATGTCCAATCACTGATTAAATCAGTGATTGGACATTTTAAGAGGAACAAAATAACAAAAAATCGTCAGTTGCCTAGATCGATTTCGGTTCGTTCCATAATGTTTTCACTGCTTGTCATTCGTGAAATGCAATCGTTCGGTGTAATGTAATCAAATACGAACTTCCTGTCATTGGCCTTATAAAATATATCATGTTGACCTACAAACGAAGAAACTCCTTTTTGTTTTTTGGAAATTGAGGTGTGAAATCGTGCTATTTTATCATTAGTTACTTGCGTAGTTGCAATTTGTCTTGGTTAGTTGTGTAATCTAATTACGTTTACCGTTTTGTGGTGTGTGTAATTACAATATTTACAAACGACATAGCTAATAAGGTAGGTACTACCTACATTAGATACTCGTACCTAGTAATAGACCAGGGAAATAGCTTTTCTTATATGTTTATAATTTCAAAAAATTATCAAAGTCCTCGTTTGAGATCGAAGGGACTTCAGCGCATTTTTGTGTGGCAGATCAGTATTCTATTAGCCACTTTCGATTCAACCATCAATAACAGATCTTGTCGAAGGCTACTACATTCACTAACCGCTTCCCACTTTCCGCGTGCACCCGCAATTCCCTTTTAACGTTTTTACCATCAGTAAGATCGTGTCGGGGGCTACCACATTCCCTTTGACGGAACCCACTTCCGACGTTCCGTTCACCCGCAATTCGCGTTTGAAGATTTGACTCCACCATCAGTGAGATCGTGTCGCGGGCTACCACATTCTCTTTTACGGTACCCACTTCCGACGTCCCGTTCACCCACAATTCGCGTTTGAAGATTTGACTCCACCATCAGGAGGATCGTGTCGGGGGCTACCACATTCCCTTTGACGGTACCCACTTCCGACATCCCATTCACTCGCAATTCGCGTTTGAAGATTTGACTCCACCATCAGTAAGATCGTGTCGCGGACTACCACATTCTCTTTGACGGTACCCACTTCCGACGTCCGTTCACTCGCAATTCACTTCTATTGGCGACACGAGAAAGAGAGACAGCGATTCGAGATTTACGAATAGTTAAACCGCGTGAGTTCGCAACGGAAGGTAAAAGGCGCCCGAAGTTGACTACTTCTCGAAGACGCGCGCGCGCCTCGCAAAAGGTCGTTAATTTCGCCCCTAGGACAACAAACAAAATTCCGCCACGCAGGAGTTGTGCGCGTTTGCAACATCTTTCCGACGACACCAATTTGAAAAGAATCGGACCAAAACTGTAGTAGAAGATAGGAAAAAACTGAAAAACCTTCACGTTAGTATACTACGCTCGAGGATGACGCCCAGATGTCGCCAACCCCACATCATGTAGCCATGTCCCTAAGGTTGACAAATTTCACGGCCCTGTAGATACACGTACACCCGTTGCCTTTCTACAAGAGTTCTTCTACGCGCCCACATTTGCTGCCAGCCAACCAGCCAGCCAGCCAAAGATTAAAAGCTACTTTTCACAAATAAATTTGCAAAAATGCGCTAAAAACAAGTTTGTTAATCAAAACTATCCACATCTGTTGTGTATACGAGGGTTTATTAAATCTCTAATTAAACGGCAACCGATAAAAAGTTCAAAGACAATTAATTTCTGCTTTTGTTGGCTGCAAAACCCTAAGTTATAAGGGTAATTTCGGATATTTCCATACTGCGGAATATTGGTAAATTATTCCGAATGTCAACTATTAAAGTTCGAGAAACCTGAAGCACCGTTTGTTCCGGATCCAAATTGTCATACATCAAGATTCATTTTTAACGAGTAACCAAATTTTACCCGGCAAAATGTCCGATTGTATTGTACAAGGTGTTCCAACATCCAATTTTACAAATTGCTGATATCCTTCCAAAGGAGAAAACCAAACTGTCGGTTGAAAAAAATTTTCACTCATCGATAAATATAAGTTATTTTGGATTGCATTATGTAACCATAGGAGTCGATTTTTTTGGGAAGTTTTCATAAAGGATTTATGTTTAAAGTCATTTTAACATTCCTGAAGGAGTGGACTCAAGTGCCTTAAAGGATCTTACAAAAAAATACTATAGTCTTTGAGATCCTCAACTTGATATTGATTTAGTCGTTTAATTTGAGCATCTCTATGTTTCTCCAAAGGTATTCCCAAGTCTCCGTGGTTGACACGTAGTTTAAGAGTGTTTGTAAATCAAACCTTGAAGAGCCATTAAGTTAGCTGTCATGGATCCTTTAACTGTCTGTAAGAGCTTTAATAGTCAATTACAGTCTCAAAAAATCTCCAAGAGCCTTCAAAGCGTTATAAAAACTGGAGCCTCTCCTAGGAAGCACGATGTAGGTACCTAATACTACCTTTACCCATCTCTTTCGTCACGATGCCCTTGCAACATTTGTTTACGGGCGATGCCATTCCAGTTTCGAGTTTCTAAATGGGCGGGTTATAAGGCAGTAGTAGGTATGCTATTTTATCGATGTTTACTTTGTTGGTATATTATTAAAAGGAAAGGGGCTCTATACACATAAACATTTAAAGGCCGCATGCCATACATTAAAAATCTACGCTATATATAACGCTAGAATCAAGATCAATTTATATTATTTTATGTTTATTTTTCAATCATGCCATATTTAATTTCTGTAATTGTTCTGTAATTGGATGTATTAATAGTATATTAAAATACAAGTTACAGAAGGCGCTTATTCTTGCACGAGTGTTCGAACGGACGAGTGCCAGAAGTGCCTTCTGTAACGAGTGTTTTATGCTATTTTTTCTACTTCACTCATTTTACCTCCTTTTATGCTTATTTTAAATAGTAAAATGTCTTATTTGGGAATTTTCATTTTTTGAAGTTGGCATTACTTGTTACAAACAAATTGTAAACTTCAAAATTGAATTTGAAGTAAAAAGTGTTGCAGGGCGAATTGAATAATTTTCCTCGCAAAATGAGCGACGAAGGATTTGAAATCAACCTTACTCCGCCAGAGGTGCGAGAATTAGCAAAAAAATGCAGAAGTAAATTTATTACCAGATAAATCCCGCAAAGTTTACGAATAGAGGTATAAAGTGTTGCAAGACTGGTGCACAGAACAAAAAGTACAAACAATTTCTGAAAATGTTTACGTAACTTTCTAGAAATACCAGGATGTTCACGTATCCTTGATAAGGTTAACACACAATTTAGTGCAAATCAGGTCAAGGAGATTCGAAGAGAAACAGTTACAGGAGGTAACAATTTCGTCGCAACAAATATTCCAGGTGTTAACGTTATGGCCCAAACGCATTGAACAGTTGCCATAAATGTGTATAATAATTGTAGATTTGATAGTAAAAATTAAAATTATGTTTCTTTCACATGTACCGTTTACCTTATTTTGACATTTTTGTCATTTTGTAGGTGTGTGCATTTAGCGCGCGAAAGTGTTTACCTAATGTCATTAATCAGTAAGTACGAACTTCGAAGCGCAAAACAGCCCTACTTCATTTCCATTTAAGTTGTTTCATTTCGATACGCGTTTGCGTGTCGAAATAGGTTCATTTCGAACGTGAAGTAGAAAAACATCTGTTGAACATCATTATTATTATGGTCGGTGTTTCTTGTGAGAACTCAGGTCTAGCCTGGTTAACTAATCGCACGGATTAAAATCATATAACAGCGAAATAATTAAAGATATGGGTATATCATGTATAACGCAAGTTTGATACGCCACTGGAATACAGCACGCCAGCTGTGGTGATCAAAAATATTTTACAAATATGGCGACAATAAATGTAAACAATTTTGCTCTAAGACTTTTTCGTATCTTTTATGGTATAGAAATTAGGATCCGGGGGGTTTACGTGCTACACCCTGTATAATTATTAACACAACCTTAAATATGAATATGCCAATTTTAAACACAGAAACCTAATCTTACCCTTATTAACAAAAATTCTTTACTTTACTTTACTTTCGGTTTCTTTTAAAAATCTTGAAACATCCCTTTACTCAATATTTTCGTGTAGGTACCTACTACTAGTTGTACCCCACTCCTAAGTATTAGCACTCTCCGATTTTTAACGTAATATAATCACTAGTAAAATAATTAGTAACCGTGTTTCGTAAATGAAATTTTATACAAAGGGGGGTTGTTTGGGACGGGCACAATACTTCCGTACGTGCTTAATCTGGAGTCGATGCTTTATGGTGTATTTGATTCTCATTCCGCTCGCATGTTTCGGGTTTCGTATGTCGAATTAGCCAAAAGTCGAAAACGATAGCTTGTATGTAATTCGCGAAAATGAGGTGTACCGTCAAAAAAGCCCTTCTAAGAAAATATATAAGACATTTACAATAACTTCGGAGTTGCGCAGACCAAAAGCTGTTCTAGTTCGTATTTAATTATCAATTAATTCACCAACTTTGTACCCACAGAGGCTTCCAGGATTATTAAATTGTACGAGTAAATACAGATTTTGTAAATCTAATTATCTACTATTACGCACCTGTAAAAATTACAACTTGTTCAATGCGAGTTCGAAATTTACTGCTCTATTAATTTAATCGCGGTGCTTTACCCCCTTCCTTCAATAACTCTCAATTCCACGAATTATAATTTAACATAGATATTCTACGCTAGAAATTCGCTCGACGCGAATAAAACGAATGTTTTGTAATTTATTGGCTTTGTCGGTATTCAATTACAGCCTGTAGCGTACTCGGTTTCTGCTAAATTCTATTGACGAAAGCAGAAATTCTCGAGTGCAAATTGGTCCGTGATTAACGTAGCGTTAGTTTTTAGGTGGATTGCAAGTGAAACGAAATTGCCTCGTTAAATAGAGAAAATGGAACTACTTTGAGCTTTTTTCGTTTTTCGTAAAACAAGCTACACACTTTAAGGGTTACTTTTTGTTCACGTTTTAAGCACCATTGTCCTCAACTTTATATCCTTA